TCCCTGCCCGTGGCAGGGGTTGGAGCTGGAGGAGCTTTAAGGTCCCTTCCAACACAAACCAGGCTGGGGTTCTACGATTTATGTCAGCACTCAGCTGCTGTCTTGAACCTTGCACTGCTCACCCTCTGGTTCACAATGAGCTATCTTTGCTTTGTCATTTTGGGGGCAACCATATACAAAAGAAAGATCTGCAGTTTATAACACAGAACACAAAATGCTACTGTTCCACATAATATAACAACATTAACAGCATGTTTATTTTGTGTGTTGTAACATGACATTCTAAACAGACTGAAAGAGAGTTTAAAAGCCATTCAGTCACCTTGGGAGGAACAGAGCAGCCGTCGGGGCGGAGGTGTTGGTACCTCTCAGCAGGGCAGCGCTCCAATGAGCCACGCTCCATTTCAGCTGGTGTACCTGCCCTAGCCACAGCATCACCGAGCTCGGGGCTGCAGCTGGTGCGTGCAGGCACCCGGCAAACCCACTGCCATCAGGACAGCAGTCTGGGGCAGGCGAGGCTGGATGCAGCAGGTAACAGCAGCGGGTCTCCTCCTGCAGCCCCCCCCTTTCTCAGCCTTTCTGTGGTTCGGTTTGTCAGGGATGAGCCTCAGGGTTCATTAGAACTGCAGTTTTATGTATTTAAACAGCAAGCAGATAACGGGTGCGAAACCAGAACAAACCAGGAAAGGATCCCCGAGGGGGGGGAAACCTCGTTGTTATTCCTGCTCCCAGTTTTTCATTGTTTCATCTCTGTGCAAGTTCTCTTGACATACTGGGCTCGTTTGAAACCTCCCAGTGACGTCAATGGGACACTGAAATCAGAGCAGCAGCAGCTCCGCTCCCAGCCTGCCCGGCTCTGCTGCTGCTCTCAGACAGACACCATCCATCACACTGCAGCACAGCAGGGCTGCTTCACCCTGCCTGCAGCAAAAGCTCCCCGGCACCTGCAGAATACACACATGTATTCCTGTTCAGTGCAACTAACAAAGGATGTGGCATTAGAAAATGCAGGTGGCAAAGGACTTAATGCCTGAAATGCATTACAGAATTCTGGATGTTTCATTTTGGGGGAGAAAATACAAAATTCCAGCAACCAAAGTTCAACTAACCAAGTCTTTGCTTGGCTTATAAAGGGATTTAACAATCATTTTAGAGGCTCTATTCCCCCTTTGCCCTGTTATTTGTATGGTTCTGTTCGCTTTTTGATGTAGCTCTCCCTATAAATCCTGGAAAATAAAACGGCCACAAGCCTTTCCTTGCAGTTTAGCTTCCTTAGCTTTTATTTTTTAAGGGAAGCATATGAAAACGTGTTAATTCTACCAGTCTGGCTGTTAAACATGAATCAATTTTCTCAGTGAGAAATCGACCCACGACACTGAGCTGATGAATTCCCACTGCGCACTGTGAAGCCACATGTGCCCGTTTCACAGCACTTCGGGTTTATCAAGGAGTTGTCCCGGTTTATCCAGGCCTTCTCATCCAGGATATTAAACCTGGCACAGCACAGGAGTGCTCTGCACAGCAGTTGTCTGCAGAGCCAGGCAGCATCACCTAAAGGGGCCTCAAGAAACCTGGTAGAGGGGCTTTGGACAAGGGCCTGTAGGGACATGACTCTAGCACCACAAATGATTTGGGTTGGAAGGGACCTTAAAGCTCCTCCAGCTCCAACCCCTGCCACGGGCAGGGACCCCTTCCACTAGAGCAGCTTGCTCCAAGCCCCTGTGTCCAACCTGGCCTTGAACACTGCCAGGGATGGGGCAGCCACAGCTTCTCTGGGCACCCTGTGCCAGTGCCCCAGCACCCTCACAGGGAAGAACACAGATATACATGGACTTAGCTAAAAGGAGTTTCCCTCCCAAATAAAGTTACATAGATTATTTCACAGGAAATTAAGCTAATGAATGTAAATATGAGGTCATGTAGATACGACCAGAGCAGCCTCAAATGTTCAAACTCTCATCTTCTACCTCGCAAGACCAGCATGAAAATACAGCCAGAAACAACTTGAAAGGATAGAGCATGAAGAGAAGGGAAAGGTCACTAAATACCAAGCACCATTCCTCCACCAGAATCCCTCCATTACCATCTCCTCACACAGGGAAAGCAAACACTGTGCTCCTCAGACCCAATTAAATGCCCATGATTTGATTGTTAAAGCCCCAATTCCAGCCAGGCATTGACTTTGCTGCAGACACATCTCAACAACAGATTCTTTATGCTTCCTACAGCCATTTGCGAGCACAAGAGAAATATTTGGCCTCCTCTTTCTAAACTGTGCCTACAGATCTCTGAGTTCTGTCTCTCAAACCTACCCTCTGCATACAAATCACTTCTTTGTTGAGATACCGCCTATTCATAGAAGGCCACTGAATTAATACATGAAGACAACCAAATTGTTCTAAGTATATCTCAAGTCACAGCTAAGCCAAACTAAAACAAGACAATGTGAAGGAAGAGCTGATTTATACCCGTGATATTGGCAAGTGTTAACTCCCAGAGCAAAACCTGAGGACTTCAAACTCAAGTTATAAATCAGTCAGTACGTATGGTACCACAGGATGGAAATACTCCCAGCCTCATCCACCGGCAAACATCTCAGCTTGAACCAAATGACTTGAAGAGCTGGAAATGGGAAAAGCTGATTTCTTTCATGTCATGAACACACTTTGGGTAGTTCAGGTTAGGGAACACTTGTGCTTCCACCACAGTTTTTCTCTTAAAGTTTAGTTCAAGAGCTTGCTCATGAGTGGTGGAAAAAGGAAAGAGCTCAGAAGAGGACCAAGAACTTACTGCAGAGGAACAAAGTGCTTGAGGGTACAGTGCAGAAGGCTGGCACTGGATCTCAGCCACAACACAGGCCCTGAACAAGTAACCAGGTGGTCATGAACACTGTGATTAGCCAGACTCAGCCTGTAACTAGACCAACATGGGGTGAAGGACATGCTGTATTTCCACCTCTGCGCAGGTAGTGAATTTATATAGGATAACCCCTATCCTCTCCTTTTAAATCTGCCTAAAAGCTCATCTCAATCTCCCCTACTATAAATCTGTATATGGAGAAACTGAGCTATTGTGGTACAAAGATGCCAAATACCAGTAACGTGCTTGTCTGACATGGCAACGTGTTGCACAGCAATTGGACATCTGACACCTGGATGACGTGGTCCTTGCTTCTCTGCAGCATTACATCTGCTTGGGAGGGAACGCAAGAGCCGCATGGTCAGGTCATGAGCACAGCCACCTGAGTGGACCACTCTGGCTGGGTAGGAACCCGTGCTGCCAACACCCGTTGCCCTCCTGAGCACGTAACAGCCATGCCAACCAGTGAGGTGACACATGTCAAGTGTGTCCTTCAGAAGGGCAGAGGGTGTTGGGCAGCACCGTGCCACCACTGTGGCTCCCTTGGGCTGGCACAGCCGGCAGCAGGAAGGAGAACGACCTCAATGTCCACCCCAACCCACAGCGCAGCAGGGACAGAGCAATCCTCCTCATGTCAGCTGTCAATAGATCAGTGTGGAAGTTTAGATTGGACCTAAGGAGGAAATTCTTTCCTGTGAGGGTGGTGAGGCACTGGAATGGGTTGCCCAGGGAGGTTGTGAATGCTCCATCCCTGGCAGTGTTCAAGTCCAGGCTGGACAGAGCCTTGGGTGCCATGGTTTAGTGTGAGGTGTCCCTGCCCATGGCAGGGGGGTTGGAACTGGATGATCTTAAGGTCCTTTCCAACCAAACTATTCTGTGATTCTATGAAGACGCAGCCCTGATGTTTATGCACTGTAATGACAGACACCATTGGGTTTCGAATTAAGACCAACATGAACCGGCCCTTGGGAAGGGAGGACACACAGCACCTCACAATGAGAACTTCCCCGGTGGGACTCTCTTCCCTTTCCCATCTTGCTGCCTCAGTGCCTCTATGGACTTCTGTTCCTTCCTTTCTTACCAGGTGCTTTAACCAGAGGTCTGCCAATAACCCAATGATGCATTTCTCTTCTCCTCTAAATATTTACCTTTCTATTCTCCTGCCCTGCACCACAACACACAGCTCTTCTGAATGACCAGACTAGATCTGGAGAAGGAAAACTACCTCTCTGTCTTTACAACACCATTCAGAGACTCAGAACCTTGACATTTGTACTAAGATCTACAATTTAATACCTAGAAAACCCTAAGCTATAGGTTCGTCTCAGAGCCTAACGCAGAGGAAGCTACAATTAAATCATCATAAGCAATAATAAGATTACACAGAATAAATTCTATGCAAGAATATGTAACTATGAGGAATATACTTGAATATCTAGAATAGAAAATTCTCTCTATATTGAATATTCTCACAAGATGCTGTATAGACTACATAGATTATCTATAATCACAGATTGTAGATTATGAAGCCACATATAGATTACAGATTACAATCCATGTATATCACACTATCCAATGACTTCATACCTGACCTCCTAGGAAAGGGAAGCCCGTTTCAGTGCAGTCTCAGACTCAGTTCCTGCTGTGGGATGTGCCTCTGGAGTTCCCTTCACATCCCCCCATCCCAACACCACAGCTCCGAGCAGAGGCAACAGCAGCAGCAGCCCTGGCTGCTTCTTAGAATGCAGCTGGAGTTGCCAACAGGCTGGGGAAGGTGCCGAGGTAACACCATGAAACCACCCAAGTGAGAAGTTGCTTCAGTGCCTCATTACTTCCTCAAATGAGAATGTATGCCCATACACACCTTGTAGCGAAAATAATGAAGTGCAAGACAACATTCCCCACCCTTTTTCCACACCCCAGTTGTGAGGGTGCATTGTGAGACCCAAATCCCACCAGGAAAGACAGAGAAACAGAAAACATCCCGCAAACACCCTGAGATTCTGCAGCTGGAGGAACGCGCGCATCCTTATCCGCGTTTCCATTGAACATGGCTTTTTGGCAGAGGTAAAATCACACATTTCCAAGCTCTTTTGCCCACCATGACTACTCTGATGGGGCCAAACCCAAACGATACTCACCAAATCCACGAGTGACGGCGATTAGGTAAAAAATTAACATTCAACATCTTCCACGATGCTGCTTCTCTTCCGCTCGTCCGAAAGGAGTCAGCACATTTCCCACTGATCCCAAACTTCCTTCCGAAGTTCTACCAGTGGCACGGAGCTGCTCCCAGGAGTTTTTATTCTCTGTGGTTACATGCCAATTCCCATCGCAGGGTGGATGGCACTTTAGAAATGAACGCAAATGACCTGGCAATCAGAACGTGAGGGTGCCTGTGGAGCAGCCTCTACGGACTCCCATATTTCTTCACTGCCATCAAGAAGAAAAAGACAAAATCATCTATTTCTGGCAAAGCCCTGACTGCAGTTTCCTGCTCTCATTTGTATAATCCCTTCCAGTGATCCTGAGACGGCGAGGGGGGGAAAAGCAAGCCTTTTCCAAGCTGGAGAAACATCCCCATTTTCCTGTTGATCCTTTCCAGGTCACATCCCTCGTTCATTCACCACCTTCGCAGATGAATCAAAGTTTTCTGACGCTGCAGAAACTCTGCTCTCGCTTCCCTCCTGCGCTCCGTGGATGTGAGAGATGGTATTCCCGGGGTGAAAACAGGGACCCAGCTCCCTGTCCACGTTACAGGCAGGAGGGAGCCCGTCCCCGTGGCAAAAGGCCTGGCTCATCCATCCCACCAAAACAGAAGAAACAGCGATGCTCTCAGCGGGTTGCAAGCTCCCTGCAAGGGGTCACTGCAGGAGCAGGGCTGTGCTCTGCGTCACTCCCGCCGCACAGGGACGGGGCTGTGTTTCTGGATGGGATCCCTATCTGCCCATCCAGCCCTCCCTGTGCCCGGCTGGAGAGGTGCTCTGCCTGCAGGAAGCTCCTCGGAGCAGGTATCTCCGCAGCTGCAGCTCCCCCCGAGCCTTTGAGCCGGAGCCGATTTGTGTGTCTGCATAAAATGGAATTTTACAAGATTTACATCTAAATCCCGCCGCTAAACATCAAACCCGGCACAGCTCCCTGGTGCAGCCAGACGTCAGGGGGTGGGTGGTGGGAACGCGGAGCGGCTCCTGGAATAAGGGCTTTTCCGCAGGAGCGCAGCCCGGGGCTTGGCCGCCAGCCCCCCGCCACGCACCCGCTACCGCCGGCGCTCCGGAGCACAGGGAGGGGATGTAAGGACAAAGGGACGCTGAAAGAAAGGAGGATGTAAAAGCGCTTCCAGCAGCAGCGCTGCGATGGCTTGGGAATGCCGAAAGGGAATCTGCTGACACATGCCTGCCCGGGCAGCACCGCTGCCCACCCGAACGCAGGGGTAAGGATGGGGGGTTAGGGAATGATGCTGGAATGTGAGCTGTGCTGCCTTCTGCTTGGGAAGCAAGAAGTTCAATGTCAAGAAATGCGCAGTGTGTGCAAGCAGATTTTCCATTTACTGGATTTATTCCTCCCTCCCGGTGAAGTGTCCGGACGTTTCACCTTGACAACCAACAGGAAGGGATTTGATCATGGGCTGAAATCAAATAAGCAAACATGTATAAATGGGCTTCCTATAGGTGACGTAGAAGTGGGGTTTACATTTCATCAGTCATAAGTGATGCAGAATGTTCCCCACCCCCAGAGAGGAGGTTCCCAAAGCAGCAGGAGGGGACAACACCAGAGCCCAGCACTGCGAGGCACGGAGAGGGGGATCAAAACCATGGCTCAAGGAGCCTCTCCATAAACTGAGACCTGAATCCCAGCGGATCACCCTGCCTTGCAGCTGAGACTGAACTGGAAAGGGGAGTAACTGGCACAGTAGTTAAGATCTCAAATCCCAAGGGCAGGTTGGACACAGGGACTTGGAGCAAGCTGCTCCAGTGGAAGGTGTCCCTGCCAGTGGCAGGGGGCTGGAGCTGGATGAGCTTTAAGGTCCCTTCCAACCCAAACCAGGCTGGGATTCTATGGACCAGTTTGTGGCTCTCATTTCCTTTGCTGCATCTCCACTTTGGTTTGAAAGGAGCCAGTTTCACACGTGGTGGCAACTAATTTTGCTTTCAAATCAGCACAGACCACAGAAAAATGCATCTCATCTATGAGAAGGTCCCACAAACACACATGGATGGAGATAAATATACAGACACATGCCCATCTTCAACGCAGCCTGCAGATCATACTGGTACAACAGGTTCCACATAATCAGCTTAGCCCAAACCTAAGGGCCATTCCCAATGGACATGCCGACACTGTGGGCTTGGGAAGCAACAAACCACTGTCACCCTTCAAAACCTCCCATCCATCACCCCATGGACATCTCCTCCCACCTGCACCCAATAAGTTGAAAACTCTCAGGATTGCATGTGACTCAAAGAAATTCCTGTTTAATGTCCTCCTCTTGGTTCTGCCCTTTGAGCTTTTCCCCACCTCTCAGCCTGGTACATTAGATGTTATGAGGTTTAAAACAGCTGTGTCTTCCAACCCCATACCTGGGAAAAAACACCCTCTCCAATAGCAAGTCCACCACATTGGCCTTCAACTCTCTTCTTCTCGGTGAAAAAGACAAAATCAATTCACTGCTAATTTGGTAACGGGCCTTTTCATGCACTACCACACTGAGATCTTGCATCTTCCCTCCCTGCTCCCATTTGTGTGGTATCTCCCATCACGTTTCCAACCTTTCCCTTCCTCGAGCATCCTGAACTTGATGTGGATAATTGCAGGGAACATAGCAGTAATCAAACAGTGGCTGGTGGGAAGGATAATAAGTCGTTCTCTTGGGTTTTTCTCCTATAGCTTCTCAGACAGTTGAATAATTATCCCCCACTAAAGACTCAAGTGCAAGAGTAGCAATTGCAGTATCAACATGACAGAAACGAATACAGCTCTCAGAGCTATGATCAGAACCCGCTTGCACCTCACTCCTGGGTCCAAGCACTGCTGAGTGCCCTGCCTCCACTCCTACACACTTCAGAAGATCATCAAGTTGTGCATTTTGGTCCTTATCCACTGGGTGCCACATTTACATATTTAGTATGTATATTAATGAGAGGCTAAAATGGCTTTGCAAGCCCTCCTAACGATGAGTCAAAGTCCCATTGGTCCAGCCTGGCAGCCCCAATGCCAATGTTCTACCAATGAAGTTTTCCATTAAGAAAAACATCAAATATGGTGTGAAAAATTGCTTTCCAAACCCATTTCTTGCTGGAAAAGCACCATGTAACCTTTTTTAATCCACATCTTTCAGAGGAGTTACAGAACGCAGCTATTGCGCAGCCGGCCCCTTATCGTGCTGCCTTGAAACACTCCAGGCCCTTCAGCACTTCGTTACCTTCATCCCCTCCATCAACAGCAGGTTGCTGTGAAGGCTCAGGAATGTTCTCTGGCCTCAAAAGGCACAGATAGAGCAGCCTGGAAAAAACACAGCTGATATTGTGGATATCTTGAGATAAACCAGAAGTGCAGCACATTTGGGAAGAATACACACATTGGATCCTGCCTCTTTCCAGGTTAAAGACCCTCAACAACTGCAAGAGGATACTGGGGGTTCACCCCAGATAAATAAATAAATCCAACACTAACTATACTTAGAAGAATATTTTGTCTTCCTCCAAGTTGTCGAAAGTGGAATAGTGGAGCGAGGCCAGAGGAGGCCATGGAGATGCTGCGAGGGCTGGAGCAGCTCTGCTCTGGAGCCAGGCTGAGAGAGCTGGGCTGGGTCAGCCTGGAGAAGAGAAGGCTCCTGAAGGGGAGACCTGAGAGCAGCTCCAGTGCCTGAAGGGGCTGCAGGAAAGCTGGAGAGTTGGGACTGGGACAGGGGTTGGAACTGGATGAGCTTTCAGGTCCCTTCCAACACAAACCAGTCTGGGATTTGATGAATAATCAAACACCATCTCCCTACCTGATCAAAAAGCATGAAAACAACTCAGGAACAAACTTCTCCAGTGCTGCCCCCAGTATTTCATTTGCTGTTTTGCAGAGGAGTATTGACCTTTCACCATGGGCTGCACTGCACAGTACAAAGCCATCTATTGATTTGCAAAGGATGCGATTGCTTGTGCACCAAACCAGCTCCTCCGCCTCACAGGACCTCTTCGTCCTTCCTTTCTGGCCACACTGATTCATTATGATGAAATACTGATCTGTGATTCTAATTTCCTTCCTTCTCTTCAATAGGCTGCTCAAGGACTGACCCAAGGGCTCCAGGAACATAGCCTTGCCAACCCTTACATTAAATACCAGTGCTCTTACTTCTTTAAGAAATGCAATCATCAAGCATATACCCATTCAAAATAATTAGCTCTTCAACCACAATTTGAAGATAATCTATTTTAGCTTGAATTTTGGGTTTCTATTCACCAAATAATAAGCTGTAGCTGCTTGAAACCTGCAGGTAAATTGGTGTGCCAGGAAATTACCAGCTCCAAAACCCATCCTGGAGCTCCTGGAGACTCTTCTGCAAGATGCATATGGCAAACACCCCAGAGGAATACAAGTCTAGGATAAGGCAAGCATCGGACTGCAGAAAATAGCATCATAATTACAGGTATGTATTCACTAGGGACAGGCTCACTGAAATCTCTTGCCAGTGCAGATGCCTCTGTTTAATTGTCAACTTGACTGTTCTGGGCTGTTCTTTCCCCAGCTCTGCAGCTGGTTCAGACCCCACACCTGTGCTGTGGGTGTTTACAAGGGGCTGAATGTGAAGGATGAGCTTCTTTACATTGTCTTACTCTCAAGTTGAACTCGATCTGCAGAGCTCTGGGTAAATACAGGCAGGAGATGGCACAAGCACATTATGTCTTCCAAAAATGGTGTCACTGAAAGTCATTTGGCAGCAGGGAACTGCAGTTTCTGGAGCAGCGCTCTCAATATAGCGTGAATGTCTCCTCTGCAATGCAAAACCAAAGTGCCCCCCAGGACCATTCATCTTTTCAAAACAGACACATCACTTCTGAGCAACACCTTCCTGCCAGCAGCTCAGGGAGGGGATCCTGCCCCTCTGCTATACTCTGGGGAGACCCCCCCTGCAGCCCTGATCCAGCTCTGGGGCAGCAGCACAAGAGGGACGTGGAGCTGTTGGAGCGAGGCCAGAGGAGGCCATGGAGATGCTGCGAGGGCTGGAGCAGCTCTGCTCTGGAGCCAGGCTGAGAGAGCTGGGCTGGGGCAGCCTGGAGAAGAGAAGGCTCCTGAAGGGGAGACCTGAGAGCAGCTCCAGTGCCTGAAGGGGCTGCAGGAAAGCTGGAGAGGGGCTTGGGACAAGGGCCTGTAGGGCCAGGCCAAGGGGAATGGCTTTAAGCTGCCAGAGGGGAGACTGAGACGAGCTCTTAGGCAGAAGCTCTTCCCTGTGAGGGTGCTGAGGCGCTGGCACAGGGTGCCCAGAGAAGCTGTGGCTGCCCCATCCCTGGCAGTGTTCAAGGCCAGGTTGGACACAGGGGCTTGGAGCAAGCTGCTCTAGTGGAAGGGGTCCCTGCCCGTGGCAGGGGTAGGAACTGGATGAGCTTTAAGCTCCTTTCCAACCCAAACCTTTCTGTGAGTCTAAGACATGCAAGGAGTTACAGCACTTTAGTTCCTTTGGTTTCATCCAGAAAGCTGCTATCAGTGTTTCTTCCCTAACCAAGGTTTTACAACAACTGCATTTCCAAAGAAGTGGAGCATTGAGAGCAAATACATTTCATCTTAAACATGAAGGCTGATAATTTCTGGTAGTTTCTGTTTCCATCAGATAAATGATGCAAGGTTTTGGTTTAGTCACATTACGTGCTGCGGTGGGAACTCACATCCCCTGCAGCATCTCTTCCTCAAATTGGTTTGTGAAAGCTTTATAGTTTGGAAGTAGCCAAAGTGGAACATAAAATTAAAGCTCCCTAAAAATGCAGTAAAG